ACAATCACGCTTGCCACGTATGTTGTTGTTACAGATGGGGGAGGAAAAGGAGGAGGAGGAGCAGGAGCAGGAGAAGCAGAGAGAGAAGGAGAAGGAGAAGGAGAAGGAGCAAAACCAGGAGAAGGAGTAGGAGGAGCAGGAGAAGGAGTAGGAGGAGCAGGAGCAGGAGGGGGAGGAGTAGCAGGAGGAGTAGCAGGAGGGGCAGAGAGAGAAGGAGGAGCAGGAGGAGCAGGAGGAGGAGAAGGAGAAGGAGCAAAACCAGGAGAAGGAGTAGGAGGAGCAAAAGCAGGAGCAGGAGGGGAAGAGAGAGAAGGAGGAGCAGGAGGAGCAGGAGGAGGAGAAGGAGAAGGAGCAAAACCAGGAGAAGGAGTAGGAGCAGGAGCAAAAGCAGGAGCAGGAGGGGCAGAGAGAGAAGCAGGAGCAAAAGGTCCAGCTATAATCAACGATCAAGAAAACGATAAAGAAGAAGAAGCAGCTGCAGCTGCAGCAGCTACTAATGATGTTCCCACTAATGATATTTCCGCTCCTGAAAATAGTGGAGTTTCCAAAATAGCGAATCTAAAAGGTTTGCTTACTGTTATTATATTACCCATGCTTTTGTAAGTTATTTAAGAAATATAAATATGTTGACGAAGTAGAGTAACACAATCGAGCGAAGCGAGATAGTGTTGTAAGTAATCTCTATGCTCCACTATCGAGCGGGGCGACATAGTAAATATATACTCTCTATCTACTCTCTATCTACTATAGAGTACCTTGTTCTGCTCGGTAGTCTATGCAAGTGATGAACCTCTGTAATTTTGATTCTGTCTTGAAATATAGTTACTCCTATAAGCCATTGTATGAGTCTTTGCCAACGATGAGTAGATTCTACTCAGCACTCCGTACTATCGAGGAACTAGAAAACAGTAGTACTCTATAAAAGTGCTCAAGTAACTACTATCGAGGAACGAGATAGTAGAAAAGAGCACTAGGGCACTTTTCACTAGAGCACTTTACTATCTCGTTCCTCGATAGTGAGTAACGTTGTTCCTCGATGGTGAGACTTGTAAGAAAGGAGCTGACAGTAAAACAAAGAGGAACTTGGTTACACCTTTCAGTTGGAGACTAGACGAGCAGAGACTTGACAAGCAAAGACTAGACGAGCACAGCGAGTCTAGTCGAAGAGAGAAGAGAGAAGAGAGTAGAAACAAATGAGTAGAAAGAGTAGAGAGTAGAGTAGAGAGAGTAGAGTAGAGAGAGAAGTGAGAAGAGACTAGAGACTAGACTCGTTTCACTCGTCTAGTCTAGAGTAGAGAGAGTAGTGAGAAGAGACTAGAGACTAGACTCGTTTCACTCGTCTAGTCTAGAGTAGAGAGAGTAGTGAGAAGAGACTAGAGACTAGACTCGTTTCACTCGTCTAGTCTAGAGTAGAGTAAAGACTAGACTCGCTTCACTCGTCTAGTCTAGAGTAGAGAGCAGAGATAGGCTGACTGTGCTAGACAGTGTAAAGTAGACTCGTATTGCACGATTGTCGAAGAGACAACACCGAGACTAGAGACCCGACTATTGAGAGAACAGAGTATACTTTGCAGACTACCGAGCAGAGCGAGGTAGTTTATAGATGGAGCTATAGAAACAGTAGAGCATAGTTGTAGACTATGGAGAGTACATAGAGACTACAGTATATATAGACTATCTCGCTGTGCTCTCTAGTCCAGAGTAATGAAAGAGAGTAATGAGAGACTATCGAGCAGAAAGAGAGTAGTCTAGAGTAGAAAGAGATATATAAAAAAGAGACTAGAGAAGAAAGGGGCTAGAGAAGAAAGAAAGATATAGACTACCGAGAAGAAAGAGTCTAAAGAGAAGAAGAGAGTAGAAATAGAAAGGAGACTAGTGAGGAGAGATATAGTAAGGAGAAGAAAGAGAGTAGTCTATAGTGCAGAAAGAGAGAGAAGCTAGACGAGCGAGCCGAGACTATCGAGCAGAGCGAGATAGTCTAGAGAAGAGAGAGAGCAGAGAAGAGGGAGAGAGACTATTTTACTGTGCTCGATAGTCTAGAGAAGAGAGAGAGTAGAGAAGAGACTATAGACCATCTACTCTCTCCAGTATCCACTGCACTCTATAGACCATCTCACTACTCATGTCTCTATCCACTATCGAGCACAGCGAGATAGTGTTTCTTACTCGTCTAGTCTCTGCACTCCACTATCGAGCACTGCTCGATAGTGTTGTCTCACTACTCATCTCTCTTCTCTCTATACTTCTCACTACTCTACTATCGACTAGACTCGTTTCACTCGTCTAGTCTGTGCTCGATAGTGTTATAGCTAGGGGACCCTTGTGCTTACGCTGATATTTTGAAAATAGCGCTACCATGTCACGTGAAAACAAAAAACGCTACCACCACCACCACCACTATCGAGCAGGGCGAGATAGTGGTGAGAGAGTAGACTAGAGACTAGACGAGTGAAACGAGTCTAGTTGAGAGAGAGGAGACTAGAGACTAGAGACTAGAGACTAGACGAGTGAAACGAGTCTAGTTGAGAGAGAGTAGACTAGAGACTAGACGAGTGAAACGAGTCTAGTCGATAAGAGAGAGAAGAGAGAGAGAGTAGACTAGAGACTAGACGAGTGAAACGAGTCTAGTCGATAAGAGAGAGAAGAGAGAGAGAGTAGACTAGAGACTAGACTCGTTTCACTCGTCTAGTCGATAAGAGAGAGTAGAGAGAGAGAGACGAGAGTAGTCTCTCACCACTATCTCTATGTGCTCGATAGTGTTACTACCTTGTTACAACACTATCTCTACTCTACTCTCGACTAGACGAGTGAAACGAGTCTAGTCTCACTACTCTCTTCTCTCTCCACTACTTCACTCTCGACTAGACGAGTGAAACGAGTCTAGTCTCACTAGTCTCTTCTCTCTCCACTATCTCTACTCTCTCCACTTCCCAGTACTTTACTAACGACTAGACTCGTTTCACTCGTCTAGTCTCTAGTCTCTTCTGTAGAGACCGTAGAGCCTAGGTAATAGGGCTATGTTTATTCACAACGACAAAGTGGTTTAGGAGAGGTGGCTATGTAGTTGTTCAGGAGCTATAGGTCTGTGATTATTCACAACGACCTTTGGTCGTTGTTCAGAAGAGGTCTTGGGCTATGATTATTCACAACCACTTTGTGGTTGTTCAGGAGCTATAGGGCTATGTCGTTGTTCAGGAGCTATTGGGCTATGTAGTGCTATGTTTCCTCTTTCTCCTTCTCCCCCCCAACTCCTCCTCCAACTCGCTCATCTTGACATTCTTTATAAGAATATTATGGTTCCCCACCTGGTACTCGGGCCAGCTCTTTATTATGGAAAAGAAGTCTGCACATGGTTGTTGGAGGTCTAGTGTTTTCCCAGAGAGGGAGAGCGAGAGGCCGATGAAGAAGAGCGTAAGCTCAAGCAGCTCAAGCTCTAACAGCGGCAGCTGTTTGGAGCTGGAGCTAGAAGCAGAGCCCTCTAACAGCGCCAGCTGTTTAGAGGGAGCTGCCCCTGCATCATCTAACAACAGCGCCAGCTCTAACAACAGCGACAGCTGTTTAGAGGGCTCTGCCCTCTCTACCTTCTCTACCTTCTCTGTACTCTCCTTCAGGAGCACTGTCTCCTCCTTGCTATTCAGCAACAGCAACAGCTGTTGCTTCAGAGACAAGAGCTCTTCCTTGCTATTCAGCAGCTTGCGCTGCTTCAGAGACAAGGGCTCTTTAATGCTATTCAGCAGCTTGCGCTGCTTCAGGAGCAGAGGGTCCTTTTTATTCAGCAGCAGCTTGCGCTGCTGCGTCATCCCCACTGTCCTTTCTATCTCCCCCCTCTCTCCTGTTATCTTTCTATCCACACCCTTGGGGTATGGTCTTGCCAAGACCACACCCTCTACCGCCTCCACCTTCATCACCAAGACGCGAATCTTGCTCTCGACCCACCCCCTATACTGGACGTGTCCAGTATAGCTGGAACACACTACACATAAAAAAAACTTGTACTCCAGAAAGAAGGTGGTGGGGGCTAGGATCTTATCGAACTGCGCTCCAAGGGCGGCCGCCCTGTGGAGCTCGTCCACCATGACACTGTAAGTACTTTTTGTAATATTATGAGTGGCACACATTGAAGGGTATGCCGGAGTGATCACCGGCATTCTGTGGTTCCTATCTGAGGCATATAGTTTCGGGTTCCACACCCGGGCCTGGAGGGGCCCGCTCTCGATGCCCTTCAATAGAACTGGCTCCGGCCAGTTCCACTGACTAAAGATCTCAAAAAACTTTTGGACCACCACTGAAGATATTTGGTTTGGGTAGAGCTGGCAGATTCTTGCAGTCATCATGGCATAGGCGACGCCCCCCGGAAACCCAAACACGTTCCCATATATAGCTCTGGCATTCGCCCAGAGCTTTATGAATCTAAGAGCGTGTTTGAAGACTAGGGGCTTTGGCACTAGGGCCAAGATCTGGTCAGTGACTCTAGCGCCGTTGACGGCGCGCAAGTCGCATTCCAGGATGTTTTTGAGGATGGAGTTGTCTAGGGCGAGGGAGCGCGGGATGCGCGGGAGGTCGAGTGTGGCCTGGATGATGTCTATGTGGATGCCATAAAGGGTGAGTTTTATAATAGGGACAAATGCGTCGGGGACACACACAACAGAGTGGACTCCCGGAGGGAGGACACTCTGTTGCTCTGCACTCTGAAGAGTACCCTTTAGGGTACTCTGAGTATCCTGAGGACTCTTCTCATGAGAGTGCTCTGCACTCTGAAGAGTACCCTTTAGGGTACTCTGAGTATCCTGAGGACTCTTCTCATGAGAGTGCTCTGCACTCTGAAGAGTACCCTTTAGGGTACTCTGAAGACTATTCTCAGAGTGCTCTGCATCATTCTGAAGAGTACCCTTCAGGGTACTCTGAAGACTATTCTTATCCAAGTGCTCTTCGGTTCCCTCAGAGCACTGAGTATCCTTTATACTCTTCAGACTATCCTTTATACTCTTTTCAGAGTGCTGTTCAGAGTGCTCTTGCAGAGCACTCTTCATCGCACTCATCTCCTCTTCAACCATCTCCTTAAATGTGTTGAAGAAATCCTCTCTAGTGATGTGCCTTGGCACAACCACTAGAGCGTCTATATCGGAGGTCGGGCCATAGACGCCGAGCTTGTACGAGCCAAAGGTAAACACCTTCCCGCCCGCGTCTCTCGCGAGAGACGCGGGCATTTTGGTCACGGAGACTCTATAGACATACTGTTCCGTGATTCTCTGCAAAAGAGTCAAGACCTTGACTCTTTTGGCCGTGTTTGCCAGCAGCTCAAACAGATGTCTCTGTTTGAGCTGGAGGAGGAGGAGGTCGTTGAGCCGGAGGTCTTGAGGTGTGGGTGGGGAAAGGGAGATGGGGGGAGTGACTCCCAACATCGAGTATCTACTATCGAGCGGAGCGAGATAGTAGATACGAGCAGTGCTCTACTACTATCGAGGAACGAGATAGTAGACAATCCCTAGTAGCTACTATCGAGTATCTACTATCGAGTATCTACTATCGAGGAACGAGATAGTAGAAGTAACTTAGTAGTGTTGTGTCTGTCTACTATCGAGGAACGAGATAGTAGTATAGTACTCTAGTAGATGATAGTGGTGTAGTAGTACTCTAGTGGATAGTACTCCTATAGTAGTACTCTAGTGGATAGTGTGGTCTCTGTTGGATAGTGTTTTAGTAGTGTAGTGTTGTCTCTGTTTCCGTAGTGTGTGCTCTTGTACTCTCGAGATGGTAGTGATGTGGAGGGTGATAGTGTGCAAGTGGTGTAGTGATGGAGTAAAGAGTATCGAGCAGAGCTCGATAGAAGCTTTTTCAGCGAGAAACACTAAACACTACCGAGACACTACCGAGNCACTACCGAGACACTACCGAGACACTACCGAGCAACACTACCGAGCAGAGCGAGGTAGTGTTGCAACTGGGAGACTATCGAGCGAGAAGACTATCGAGCACAGCGAGATAGTCTATAGTCTCCTCTCTACTCTTCCTTTACTCTCTTCCCTCTACTCTCTTCTCTCTACTCTAGACTATCGAGCAGAGCGAGATAGTCTATAGTCTCTACTCCCTACTCTCTAGACTATCTATCTAGACTACCGAGCAGGGCGAGGTAGTATATAGTCTACTCTCCTCTGTCTACTCTTCTCTGTCTACTATTCTTTATACTCTTCTTGATACTCTGTACTGTCTACTCCTCTCTCTACTCTTCTCTAGACTATCGAGCACAGCGAGATAGTCGATAGTCTCCTCTCTACTCTCCTCTAGACTATCTACTCTTCTTTCTAGCTCATCTCTAGACTACCTCGCTCTGCTCTTCTTTCTACTCTACTCTCTCTCTGTCTACTTTCAAGACTATCTCGCTGCGCTCGATAGTCTCTCTACTCTCTGTCTACTTTCAAGACTATCTCGCTCCGCTCGATAGTCCCTCTACTCTCAAGACTATCTTTCTGCATCATTTTCAACCAAACTCACTGCTCCACTATCGAGCGACACTATCAAGCGACACTATCGAGCGACACTATCGAGCAGAGCGAGATAGTGGAGCAGTATAAAGTAGAGAGAAGAGACTATAGAGAGAGCGAGATAGTCTAGAGAAGAGTGAGAGAGAAGAGCTAGAGAGTGAGTAGAGAAGAACCAATTTACTCCACTATCTCGCTCTGCTCGATAGTGTCAAAGCTAGAGAGAAGCTAGAGAGTGAGTAGAGAAGAGCTAGAGAGAAACTACAGAGGAGTGAGAGAAAAGACTATCTCGCTCTGCTCGATAGTCTAGAGAGTGAATAGAAAAGAGCTAAGTTACTCCACTATCGAGAAGCTAGAAAGGAGTGGGGGAAGAGAAGACTATCGAGAAGCTAGAGAGTAAGGGAAGAGCTAGAGAAGACTATCGAGAAGCTAGAGAGGAGTGGGGGAAGAGCTGGTATTCTCCACTATCTCGCTGTGCTCGATAGTGTCGCTCGATAGTGTCGATCGATAGTGCTGCTCATTAGTGTGGAGGGGTGCATGTATGCTCCACTATCTCGCTCTGCTCGATAGTGTCGCTCTATGCAAGCTAGGTTGGTTCCTTGTGTTTACGGTGAAATTTTGGGATTTTGGGGTTTTTGATATTGTTTTGCGCTACCATGTCACGTGATAGTAGTATAGGGTGCTACCAAGTGTACTCCGCCACCATCACCATCACACTATGGAGCAACACTATCGAGCAGAGCGAGATAGTGTTTTTAGAGCAGTGTAGAGTAGTAAAACTATCAAGCAGAGCGAAATAGTGTTGTGTAGTGGAAACACTATCGAGCAGAGCGAGATAGTGTTTTTAGAGCAGTGTAGAGTAGTGGAGAGTAGTAAAACTATCGAGCAGAGCGAGATAGTGTAGTGGAGAGTAAAACTATCGAGCAGAGCGAGATAGTGTTGTGTAGAGTAGTGTGGTGCAGAGTAAAATATAGTAGTGTTGTGTAGAATAAAATAGAGTAGAGCAGTGTAGAGCAGAAACACTATCGAGCAGAGCGAGATAGTGTAGAATAGAGCAGAATAGAGTGGAATAGAGCAGAAAACACTATCGAGCAGAGCGAGATAGTGTAGAATAGAGCAGAATAGAGCAGAATAGAATAGAGCAGAATAGAGCAGAATAGAGCAGAAAACACTATCTCGCTCTGCTCGATAGTGTGTTGTTGAATAGAGCAGTGGAGAGCAGTGTAGAGCAAAGCAAGATAGTGTCGATGGTGTAGTATAGTGTAGAGCAGTCCCTCTCCACTATCGAGCAAAGCAAGATAGTATAGGTTAGAGTAGTGTTGTATAGCATAGTGTATTGTAGTGTAAAGGAGTCTTTCTCCACTATCTAGCAAAGCAAGATAGTGTCGATAGTGTAGAGCAGTCTTTCTCCACTATCTCGCTCCGCTCAAAAGTATAGTATAGAGCAGTGTTGTATAGTGTAGTGTAGAGTATAGCAGTGTGATATAGAGCAGTCTTTCTCCACTATCGAGCAAAGCAAGATAGTATAGGTTAGAGTAGTACCTCTCCACTATCTCGCTCAGCTCAAAAGTATAGGTTAGAGCAGTCTTTCTCCACTATCGAGCGGAGCGAGATAGTGAGTGTAGTGTAAAGGAGTCTCCCTCCACTATCTCGCTCCGCTCGATAGTGTCGTGTTGTGTCGTGTACTTTTGTGTGCTCCACTATCTCGCTCCGCTCCATAGTGTCGTGCTCAATAGTGTTAATTTTAGTTTGCTCCCCTCGATAGTGGAAATACCTTAGATCTATCTACTGTCGACTAGTCACTCATCTGGTCACATCTAGTCACACTAGTCACATCTAGTCACACTAGTCACATCTGATTACTTTCCACTATCTCGCTCCGCTCGATAGTGTCACATATCTAGTCACTTTCCACTATCTCGCTCCGCTCGATAGTGTAGTTTCTTTCCACTATCTCGCTCCGCTCGATAGTGTCATGTTGAGCAAGTTGAAGATATCTGGCCCTTCCTCCGGTCCTTCCTCCGGCTCTGCTGGCGATGCCAGCACAGCCTCTGGCCCTTCAGGGCTGGTGGACACCGACGACATCAACGAGATCACGCACGAAGGACAATCGATCCTCATGAATATCATTTCTCAATTACGCCCTGGCATGGACTTGACGAAAATCACGCTTCCTACATTCATCTTGGAAAAAAAGTCTATGCTAGAGAGGATCACCAACTTTTTTCAGATCCCTCAGTTATTGGTCGTGGCGAATCGGGAAGAGGACGAGTTGAAGAGGTTTGTGGGGGTGGTCAAGTGGTACCTTGCCTCGTGGCATATAGCCCCGAAGGCAGTGAAGAAGCCATTGAATCCGGTGCTAGGGGAGACCTACTCTTGCTACTGGATCCTTGACACTACTGCCTCTACTGCCACTGCCGAAGGTAGTGGCAGTAGAGAGAAGGGTGCTGGTACTACTGGTACTGCCTTTGGCAGTAGCAGTAAAGGCCATAGCAGTAGTAGTAGAGAGAAGGGGGGTGGTAAAGAGCAGGGGGGTAGTAGAGAGAAGGGGGGTAGTAAAGGGCATAGCAGTGCTAGTAGAGCAGAGGATAGTGTTGGCCCTGGCATTGCAAGCACTGCCAGTGCTAGTAGAGCAGAGGATAGTGCTGGCTCTGGCACTGCCTGCGGCACTGCCAGAGCTTCTAATGCCACCGCCTATTATGTCTCCGAACAGTGCTCCCACCACCCGCCCAAATCCTCCTACTTCTACATCTACCCTTCTGAGAAAATCCGAGTCGACGGCGTAGTAATCCCCAAATCGCGCTTCCTAGGTAACTCGTCTGCAGCCATTATGGAGGGGCTCGGCAAGGTCACGTTCCATAACTGGAACGAGACGTTTACAATGAACCAGCCAAACGTCTACTGCAGAGGGATCCTCTTTGGCAAGATGAGATTGGAGCTAGGCGATAAGGTGGAGGTGAGGAGTAGAAAGTACTGTGCAGAGATAGAGTTTAAGACCAAGGGGTTTATTAGTGGGGGGTACGACGAGATCAGGGGTACAATCAAGAGCTCCTCGGGAGAGGAGCTAATGGTCATAAGTGGTAAATGGAATGAGAAAATATCCTTTAAGGGTGTTGAGGAGCTAGATGTGAGGGAGATTAAGACATTTCCCCCCGTTTCTATTGATGGAGGGGCGCTTTCTTCTCATCGATTGTGGGGCCCCACGATCGCTGCACTTGCAGCAAGAGACCACAAGACCGCCACTGCTGAGAAAATGAAGGTGGAGGAGGAGCAGAGGGTGTTGGCGAAGAAGAGGATTGAGGATGGAGTAGAGTTTATGCCGCGGTACTTTCAGCGGGGAAAGGATTTGGAGTATGAGTTTAAGTGGGGGATCGATATGGAGAGGGGAGAGGAGGAGATTGGGAGAGAGGTGGAGGAGGTGTTGAGAGGGGGGAGGTATGAGATTCCAGAGTATAGACACACCAGAACGAGTGAACACACCAGCACGAAGTGATGGTGTGTGAACGACTCTTCTCACTGAACACACCATCACGAAGTGATGGTGTGTGAATAATCACTACACTCTTCTCACTGAACACACCATCACGAAGTGATGGTGTGTGAATAATCACCAACCACTCTTCTCACTGAACACGCCATCACAAAGTGATGGTGTGTGAATAATCACCAACCACTCTTCTCACTGAACACGCCATCACAAAGTGATGGTGTGTGAATAATCATGAGCTACTCTGCTCACTGAACACACTGCTCACTGAACACACTGCTCACTGAACATGCCATCACTTTGTGATGGTGTGTGAATAATCACTACACACTGCTCAGATCACACTGTTCTGATGTGTCAACCATTTTGAGCTACTCTGCTCAGATCACATTGTCTGTGTGACTCTGCTCTCTTCCTACTGCTTTCCTCTCCCTTCTACCCACTGCCATTATAATGGACAGAGTATACTATATAGTGATACTACAGAGAGACTAGCGAGAGAGACTAGCGAGAGAGACTAGCGAGAGAGACTAGCGAGCAGAGCGAGATAGTCTCGACTCAAGACTAGCGAGCAAAGCGAGATAGTCTTGACTTACTACTCTACTCTAGACTAGACTATCGAGCAGAGCGAGATAGTCTCGACTTACTACTCTACTCTAGACTAGACTATCGAGCAGAGCGAGATAGTCTCGACTTACTACTCTACTCTAGACTATCGAGCTGAGCGAGAGAGACTAGCGAGCACAGCGAGATAGTCTCATATCTCTGCTCTTTTTACTACTCTTCTCTCTACTCTACTCCCCTCTACTCACTACTTAGTGCTCTCTACTCACTACTCTCTACTCGTCTCTACTTACTACTCAGTGGTCTCTACTCTCTCTCTACTCTTCCTCTACTCTCTACTCTCTACTCTCTTCTCTACTCTCTCTACTCTCTCTCTACTCTCTCTCTACTCTACTTTCTACTCTACTCTCTCGACTATCGAGCGGAGCGAGATAGTCTCTATTAACTGCTCTTTACTACTCTACTCTTGACTACTCTAGTCTCTACTCTCTAGACTATCGAGCGGAGCGAGATAGTCTATTCTTTTCTACTCCCTCTCTATTCTTCTCTACTCTCTCTCTTCTATATCTCTACTATCTACTCTTCTCTCTACTCTCTACTCTCTACTCTCTTCTCTACTCTCTCTACTCTCTCTCTACTCTCTCTCTACTCTCTCTCTTTCTATTCTCAACACTACCTCGCTGTGCTCGGTAGTGTTTATTCTTCTCTCTACTCCTTACTGCTCCACTATCTCGCTCCGCTCAATAGTGTCGCTGCTCGATAGTGTCGCTGCTCGGTAGTGTTTACTCTTCTCTCTACTCCTTACTGCTCCACTATCTCGCTCCGCTCAATAGTGTCGCTGCTCGATAGTGTCGCTGCTCAATAGTCTCTTATTTTTAGTAAAACCATGCGAATTTATAGACATAAGTGAAATCTAGTCGATACCAAGAAGAGACTTTCTAAATACAGACCCACCTCTTCAGTACTGCTCCACTATCGAGCGAAGCGAGATAGTGTCGCTCGATAGTGTCGCTCAATAGTGTCGCTCAATAGTGTCGCTGCTCTTCCCCTAGGGCTAGTCACGTGAAAAATGAATATAAATGTTTACAAGTGGAAAGCTGGGGGGGTGTGTCTCACGTGATACTCACGTGAGACACCTTACAGCTATGTGATGAAACAGCACTATAACTCTTTTGTGGTATGTCACGTGACTCACACGTGATTTACTTCTTAGTTGCAGCTAAGTGATACAATTGTACTGTGTTAAACACTATCGAGCACACTATCGAGCACAGCGAGATAGTGTAGAGCAGAGTAGTGTAGAGCAGTGTAGAGCAGTGTAGTGTAGAGCAGTGTAGAGCAGAGTAGTGTAGAGCAGTGTAGTGTAGAGCAGTGTAGAGCAGTGTAGTGTAGAGCAGTGTAGAGCAGAGCAGTGTAGAGCAGAGTAGTGTAGAGCAGAGTAGTGTAGAGCAGAGTAGAGCTGTGTAGTGTAGAGCAGAGTAGAGCTGTGTAGTGTAGAGCAGTGTAGAGCAGAGTAGTGTAGAGCAGAGTGAGATAGTGTTGTGACAAGCTAGTTGGTGTGACAAGCTGGTAAGAACTGCTCACTATCTCGCTGTGCTCGATAGTGGAGTTATATGTTAGCTGGTAAGTGCTGCTCACTATCTCGCTGTGCTCGATAGTGGAGTTATATGCATGCTAGGTCTGGGGCTCTTGTGTTTACGCTGAAATTTCGAGATTCTGGGTTTTGGTCTAGTGTTTGGCGCTACCATGTCACGTGCACTAACATAAATATGCTACCAAGTGTACCCCCATGAGAATCACTACCACCACCACTATCGACACTATCGAGCGGAGCGAGATAGTGGAGCAGTACTCAAGACTATCGAGCAGCGACACTATCGAGCAGCGACACTATCGAGCAGCGACACTATCGAGCAGCGACACTATCGAGCGGAGCGAGATAGTGGAGCAGTACTCACTAGTTGTTACTCAAGACTATCGAGCACAGCGAGAGAGTCTATTCCCTAGTCTCTACTCAAGACTATCGAGCAGTACTCACTAGTTGTTACTCAAGACTATCGAGCACAGCGAGAGAGTCTATTCCCTAGTCTCTACTCAAGACTATCGAGCAGTACTCACTAGTTGTTACTCAAGACTATCGAGCACAGCGAGAGAGTCTATTCCCTAGTCTCTACTCAAGACTATCGAGCAGTACTCACTAGTTGTTACTCAAGACTATCGAGCACAGCGAGAGAGTCTATTCCCTAGTCTCTACTCAAGACTATCGAGCAGTACTCACTAGTTGTTACTCAAGACTATCGAGCACAGCGAGAGAGTCTATTCCCTAGTCTCTACTCAAGACTATCGAGCAGTACTCACTAGTTGTTACTCAAGACTATCGAGCACAGCGAGAGAGTCTATTCCCTAGTCTCTACTCAAGACTATCGAGCAGTACTCACTAGTTGTTACTCAAGACTATCCTGCTGTGCTCGATAGTCTAGTCCCTACTGAAAACTATGAAACACAGCAAGATAGTCTACTCTCTACCGTCTCCTCTCTCCACTCTCCATTGGACTCTGTTTTCTCTTTCCACTCACTACTCACTGCTCTCTCTACTCACTACTCTCTCCTCTCTCCACTCTCTACCTATTAAGCTCTGTTTTCTCTTTCTACTCTCTACCCATTGGACTCTGTTTTCTCTTTCTACTACTCAAGACTATCACGCTGTGCCTGATAGTCTACTCTCTAGTCTCTACTCCCCTCTTCTACTGCTCATTATTCACTACTCTCTTCACTGCTCAAGATAGTCTCTCACTACTCACTACTCATATAGACTAGACTCAGCTCAAGACTAGTAAGCTGTGCTCAATAGTCTCTACTCTCTACTCATGACTATTAAGCTGTGCTCAATAGTCTCTACTCTCTACTGCTAACTACTCTCTCCTCTACATTCATGCTCTCAATAGTGCCCCTCAATAGTGTCACTACTCTACATATATGTAGTGTCACTACTCTACATATATGTAGTGTCACTACTCTACATATATGTAGTGTCACTACTCTACATATATGCTCCACTATTTCGCTTTTTCACTATTTCGCTGCGCTCAATAGTGAAAGAACAAATAGTGTCGGTCTCTTCTTCATGGACATGTCTAGGAAACAACGTACCTCCACTACAGAGGCCCCAGACTGTGCCCCCTCGGCACAGTCTCTCAAAGCACACAGCCTAGACGGTAATTCAAGAAACTTAGAGTCAGAGTCTTTTGAAATGGCCAGTGCTCCTTCAGGAGCACTAGCTTCTAAAGCAGATTCTTTTGAGATGGCCAGTGCTCCTGAAGGAGCACTAGCTTCTAAAGCAGAGTCGTTTGAGATGGCCAGTGCTCCTGAAGGAGCACTGGCTAATGGAGCACAGAGTATTGATCTTCTCCTATTGGCCTCCCCCCTTGAGATCATCTCGCACCTCCCCTCCTTCTCCTCCATCGGACACATCCATATCCTCCTTTCCAAACTATCCACCTTTCCCTACCCCGAAATAGAGTTCTACATCCCCCAATACATCCACTTGCTCGTCACCCACGAAACAGACTCGATGGCGCTTCACGAGTTCATCCTCGACTTCTGCTCAAAGTCGCCGCATTTCAGCCTCATTGTGTTCTGGAGACTCCATGCGCAGCTCACGGAGTTGGACCAGGATACTTATGCGTTCCACCAAGTGCGCTCGCTCCTCAACAGTATCCAGCAGATCCTATTCAACAAAAGACATCAGGTGTTTAGAGAAAACTTGCACCCGGCATTGGTCCTCATGGGCGGCATCGCCGCCTCGTTCGCAGTGGATGTCAATACATATGCAGAAAAGATGGTCAGGGCACAGGCCACTCAGCAAAGGTCGCTCGTGTTGAAGATAAAGAGGAAAGAGAGAGAGAAAAAGAGGGAGGAGAGACACCCTCCTAGGCAGACCAAGAGCGAGACGGACCTTAATGTAGACTCGCATGTGACTGCTAGCCCAAGAGCCTTTGACGATCTTAAAACATATAAAATGGGGGAAATGGGAATAAACAAAAAGGTAGGAAGCAACGGGGTAGGAAGCAACGGGGTAGGAAGTATAGGTGTTGGGTTAGAGCAGGGGGGTATTGGTGCTGGGGGTGTTACTGTTGGGTTACAGCAGGGGGGTATAGGTGCTGGGGGTGTTAGTGTGCTGGGTGTTTCGTCCTATTACTCCCGAGAAACCACGTTTATGATCTCCCTCCAGACCATCTCATTCAGACTCGGGCTTCTCCCCAAACATCTCAGAGACACGGCCCTTTCGGCCGAGCTCTCCCGCTTAAACACGTCGCTCCCTGCAGACATCGATATCCCCCTTCTTCTCCCGCTGCTGCTCCTGAAATACAACAAGATCCTCAATATCGTGGTGGCAGAGGCCACCCTCCTCAGCTCCGCAGAACGTGTGCCGTACCTCATAGTGATGGAGTACCTCCGCGACGAGTTCGACTTGGACGGAAAGGACATAGAATCGGATGTCACAGACTTGATTCCAATAAAGAAAACACTGACTGCCCCCTCCACTTCTTCTGCTTTCTTTTTTGAGCCCTTTGGGCTCAAGAAGAAGAGGTTGAGGGAGAGTTCCCCGTATGGCCACCTCCCCAATTGGGACCTCTGCTCCGTTATAGTAAAGAACGGGTCCGATATCCCCCAAGAGGCGTTTGCGTCACAGCTCATTTCAGTCATTTCGTCGATCTGGCGCTCGCACCAGGCCGTCTACTGGACATGCAGAATGCGCATCCTTGTCATCAGTGCAAACGCAGGCCTCGTGGAGACTATCGACGGCGTCTCCATCCATGCCATCAAGAAGAAAACTTCTCTTACAAACTACTACACCCACCTCCCCGCCAAAAGCAAACACAACTTCGCAGTCAGCTTGGCCTCTTACTCCATCATCTGCTACATCCTCCAGATCAAAGACAGACACAATGGCAATATCTTGATCGACTCTCAGGGACATATCATCCATATCGACTTTGGCTTTATCTTGGGCAACTCGCCAGGCTCAAATATAGGGTTCGAGGCAGCGCCGTTTAAACTCACACAGGAGTACATCGATATAATGGGGGGACCTTCTTCCCCTTACTACACACTCTTCAAATCAACATGCACCTCCCTATTCAGAATCTTGGCCTTGGAAAAACATAAACTAGTCCCCTTCATCGCACTCATCAACCCGGCAGCACAATCGCTGCTCTGGCAAAGACTAGACGTACTGCAGATAGACACGACAGTAGACGCACTCATAGCTAAAAGCTATAATAGCCTCTACACAAGACTATATGACCACTTCCAATTCATCTCTCAGGGAATACTATACTAATTATGAAACATACCATGTCTCATAACCATCTAATATAAGAATAGAGCATCCTCCATATTCTCGTCAGTAAACACTCATCCTCCATACTCCTTACTCCTCCTCCTCCTCCTTACTCCTCCTCCCCCTTCTCCCCCTAATGACCTCTTACAAAGATTACACATCCATGATCAAGCTTGGAAAGCTGTTGAGACGCACGCGCGGTAAAGGAAAACAAGATATTTTCAGAGCATCCACGCTCCCCCCCATCCCCCCGCCCAACGAAGAGCTAGCTGCACTTGTTTGCGAATATAGTATATATAGCTTACTACAATGGTTGCCCACACCCAAACAATATAAAATCAAAAAACTCAAACCAATCAACTCGTTTATTGCGTTCCGGTCATTCTACAGCAGAGCCGTGACAAATACCCAATACCAGCGAGAACTTTCGCGCAAATTAGCCGCGCTCTGGGCAAAAGAGCCCAACCAGAATACCTGGCGCCAATACGCCCATTTCTACAATACTTACCTCAAATCGCCTACCGCAAAACTCCATTTTGTAGAATGGCTTTTGGATGCGATGGGCGTGGTGGCACAGGCAGAGCCTAAGCCGCTAGAGCAAATGAGTGTGCACGTGGCTGCGGGCACAATAGAAGATATATATTTGTATAAAAAATAAAAGAAAAATAAAACTCTAGCTCTATAAGAAAAGAAAAAACTAAAACTCTAGCTCTATAAAAAGAATATCCATTTCTCTTTAATATGAACTACATTGACCAATTGTGGACCGCTATAGAAAAGGTTTTGGAGTATGTTGTTGAACTGTGCACTTGCACTATAGTCAACTACGATGTCATCAATGACTCTGTCCTCGACATAACAAACAACGTAAAGGTGATCACGCTGAAACCCTTGTCTCCAGACGAGTCGGAACTACTCTCCCTCCTTGGCCGCTCGGCACAGCTCCTCCATTATATCATGTCGGAACGGATGGCAACCACCCCTTGTGACATCTACGATGATTCAGATACAGACGATAAGACAAATAAACGGCTCCTGAAAATGAGCTTGAGGGTATTGGAGACTTGGTTTGAGGATCATTCAAAGGCTCCTTACTTGGATAAATTATCACTACAAAGATTAACTGAATCTACAAATCTTCTGAAATTGCAGATACAGAACTGGTATGTTTGGATCCACTATCGACACTATCGAGCAGAGCGAGATAGTGGAAACACTAGCTCCATGAACAGTATTGACACTACTCGCTGCTAGTTAGTGTTGCTACTAAGTACTGCTCCACTATCTCGCTCGATAGTGTTGCTACTAAATACTGCTCCACTATCTCGCTCGATAGTGTTGCTACTAAATACTGCTCCACTATCTCGCTTCGCTCGAGAGTGTCGCGTCGTGTTCTACTCTTTCTATTATACTAACTAGCCAATTACAACACTATCTGGCTCTGCTCGATAGTGTTTAGCGTTTCTACAGGGTCTCGAATAGAAGAAGAAAGGAAAAGCTGGTAAAGGTTGCTCCGGAGATATTGGCTCTACTTGAATAGCACACCTACCAGCAACACTATCTAGTTTCTCTAGTGTTGCAACAGGCTGTCAAGAAGTCCACTACTGGGAGAAGCAAGTAGTGCAGGTGGCATAGCCACCAACACTTCTACCTCCACTAAATAGTCACTAACTTCACTAACTAGCTTGCACCACTAACTAGCTTGTTTTAGAAATATCTCGCTCTGCTCCTAGTCTCTCTCCACTATCGAGCGGAGCGAGATAGTGTCATCACTCTCCGCTCGGTAGTGTTGATAGTCTCTGCTCAATACTGTCATCTCTCTCTGCTCAATACTGTCATCTGGCTGTGCTTCATAGTGTCATCTAGCTCTGCCCTTTAGTGTCGATAGTCTCGGTCAAGTGCTGCTCCACTATCTCGCTCTGCTCGATAGTGTCGTGCTCGATAGGGGAGGTGAGCGGAGTGGTTTGGTGCTGCTCCACTATCTCGCTCTGCTCGATAGTGTCGTGCTCGATAGTGTCGTGCTCGATAGTGTCAGTGAGCAGAGTTGCTCCACTATCTCGCTCTGCTCGATAGTGTCGTGCTCGATAGTGTCGCTAGTGCTGCTCTAAAGCTCCCACTATACCTACTCCACTTC